ATGAAGCTACTGAATGTTAGTATGAATGAACGCGATTTTAAATACGGGGAAATAAGATTTTGATGAACATTTAATAGAAACTTATAAAATGGTATGAAATATTATGGAAGATTAGCCTTACATTTGGCTCAGTTTTTAGCTAGCTACAGTACAGTAGATGGAGTATCAAGTCCATAAAAAGCAAAAAAAAAGTAATGAAACATATACGCCCACGATACAAAAATCTTCCAAAAACCTTCTTAAACTCAGGGGTCGTATACACGGGTCGCCTATGCTAGTATATACAGTATGGGAGTCTTTATATGATGATTGAATTTGCATTTAGTTAGGATTGCTATAGGTTTGCTGTACTCCAAAATGACTGTTTCTACCAGAATATCTGTGCTGCCAGCCATCAAAAGAAAGTTAAACTGTTAAACTTAAAGTCACCGAAACGGGAAGCCCGACCAAATAATACACGGAGGAGGACTTTAAATTTCAATGCCAAATTTTACTTTGTGGTACCACTTTAATGCTGTCATTAATTCAGGAAACGGTTCTTAACGCTTAGTTACACTTGCACAAAGCAAGGAAAGCTAATACCAGTCGCCAACAACAATTCCCATGGGTGCAAAAAACGTGACACGAGCATACAGTATACTGTACTTCCTTTTATTTATTCAACTTTTTCACATTCAAATCAAAGATCTTATAATTAGAAGATAGCGTTCTCCTCGATTTCTGTTTACAAATTCTGTAATAACACATTGTAGTGCACCCTCTTTAAATTGCAATTACTTTTGAACTTTGACATTTATGATCTATGCGCAAATCTGGAACAACATCCATGCCATGGTTACAACTACAATAGGACGCCCTCTCTCAATTACAATTACTTCCTTTTGCTTTTAATACTGTTACGCGTAGAATCGCAGAGAGCGCTATCTTGTAGTTATAAGATCTTTGATTCAAATATACTACAATAAAAGATATAGAAATAATTAAAATGGAGTAAATTACAGAAAAGCATGTGAACGGAAAAAAGCAGGTGCAGGTTCTACCAAAAAGTTCCTCCTGAAAAAAATATAAATTTATGGTAAACTTTAAACTGACTCACATTTTAATATAGTAGCGGCAGTTTGCTACAGCGGTTGAGGTTTGGGCTTTCAATCGTAAGGTTGGGGTTTATCGATTCTCCGCTGTGCAGATTCGCAAGTGTCCTTGGGCAAGGCACTTTAGCTACATTGCTTCAGTCCACCCAGCTGTACAACGGGACTAACCTGCGACGGACTAGTGTCCCGTCCAGGGGGAGTACAACTCTCATCCGCTTCACACTACAGAAACTGGGGATAAGCTCCAGCCCTATGAGCCACAGTGGCTCGGAAAGGATTTAGTAGTTTACATTTTAACATACAAAGGAAACGATAAAAAGTGAATGATGTTATATTTTAATATGCACATCTTTGGTTTGAAGAAGTTCAAGCATGGAAAGTGTCAATGACCAAAGTGCTAGACAGAAAACACTTGTGCAAAATCATATGAAAATGGTATAGAAGAAAAGAAAATTCTGAACAAAAATAATGGCTCAAAAATACTGAGTGATACTCTACAAATGTGTTACGGTACTTGAAATTGTCACCTTAAGTAGTATGTAGGCTGTTTGAAAATGTTATACAGGTATATTATACAGTACTCTAGTTTAAGTTAATAAATATATAGTTCTGTATCTCAAGCTTTATGTCATTGTGTTCGAAAGCATATCTTTTGTTGTACTGTAAGCAATAATTGTCGCTGAATTGTCAACCTACTTTTTCAATATAATACGGTTCTTAAATCCCACTGTAGTCATTTGAAATAGTTATTAGAATATTGAATCATTCATCACATACTATCCTGAATACATTATTCATATTTATATAGTTTTTTTTCTATTTCAAAATGCTTAAAAATCTGAGTTTCTTTTACAGATTTTGTCGATCCAATTTAAATCAAAATTTGATTGCCTCAAACACTGTAATCCTCAGTGCACATTTTTGTACTGTATGATAAAATTTGGTCTAAATAATGACCATACAGTAAATGAATTTTATAGAGGGCAATGTTTATTCGTAAGTAACAGGCGAATGAGTAATGCAGGTGCATTTCATCTACTGTACCAAATTCAAATTGAAATCGTTTGCAATTGGTATAGTACAACTCATAGTGTTTGCAGGAAGCTGTTGGTCATGTTAAATGCCCCTTGAAACAGTGTACCAAGATACCATGACCCTTCAATTTGTTTTAACCATTTATTTTCATCCAAAAGCTAATACAATGTAAAACAAGCTTCGATGGTGACTAAAACCTAGAAGAAAATTTTTCTCAGCTAGCTCTGGAACTGAATTAACAATAACAAAAAAAAATGATATTAGAAGAAGCAGAAGTAGAACCTAAACATTAGGGAGTTTTTGATTGCGCAACACAGTAGAAAATGGAATGAAATGACGTCACTAATATTTCATCTGCGCATTTGAAACAGGGTTCGAATTTCCTTAAAATGCTCCATCAGCAAGAAGTTGCTGTAGGCTCTGGCTTTACTGCAGCAATTTATTCTTCTTCTACAGCAACAATCAACAGTTTTTAGGCTTAGGCCTATCCGTTGCTAGGCCTAAGCCTGGGTTAAGCGGCTTGACAGCTAAAAGCTTGCTGTCGAGCCTGGGATTTACAACAGCAGTGGAAGGCCCTTTCTACAGCAGTTGCTGTCGGTGCTGTCAGGAAATTCGAACTCTGGTGAGAACTTTTGGCCAATTCTTCGTTGTGCAGAGAACGTAGGGCAGTCTCGCATGAGTAAATCCATTATTGTAGAGTCACATCGTTGTGCAAATCTAATGTTTCTTAATAACACAAAAGTATAAGAACTATATTTGGACGTAAATTGTTTCTTAAGTTCCTTCTTGATATTGATAAGATATCAAAAATTCCTAGGAAGCTACATTCAATAGGATCTTGATAACTAACAGAAACCCCTTCAGCCATATTTTGGGATTTACTGTAGTCTTGTTTATGTGTTTATAAGGGTTAATTTTAATTGGCAAGGAAAACATTTCCTACAGTAGTTTTAATTGCCAATGAAAAGCTAATAATGTACATTAAACATATTGTGAATGATACATGATGGTTCCGTGTTTACATAATAAAGAGTTAATTTCAGTTGGCAAGGAAACATTTCTGGTTTTTAATTACCAATGGAAAGCTAATAATTTATATTCAAATAAACAAATAAAGCAATAAAACATATTAACTTTTGTTTAAACAGCTTAAACAGTATTAGCACTCATTCAAAATGCATAAAAGGTAGAGATGTGCAAGGCCTTCACTCATGATTAAATTTGATGGCATAAATATTAAACAATTATTGAATGCAATTAAAGTTTTGAGGATGCTGTTTTAATAAGGACCCGAAGAAGACATTTTTTCTATTAAAGAAAATAATGGCTGCTAGAAGGTCAAAATTATCAATTAGTGTCCAAAATATCTTTACAATATTTTCTATAGTCAAGTGCCATGTTATCTTGACTAGGCCTAGTCTAAAGGTCTAGGCAAGCTCTATCTGTGTTCTCTGGCAACACTTGTTAGGTTTAGGCCAGCATAGGGCTACTCTAACAGCATACTGTATGAAAAGCATAATAAACCGCGCACAGATTGTTGCATTTAGCCCATCATAGGCTAGGCCTCTGTCTAGTTTTTTTAGCAATGATTTTACCTAACCTGGCATGGTAGTATTATACTTTACCTCCTCGTACAGTATGCCCACCATCGGTCACTATCCATTAGCAACAGGAACTATTGCTGTAGTGACTGTCGCTATCTCAGTGTACTAGGCACTAGTGAAAAATATTTCCATCTTTGGTTAGACAGCACGATTGACGTTAATAATCAATCATTTCTTAATTGTTCACAACATTTGTTAAAATATCTGTTTGGCAAAAAGAAAAATGACTTACTTTGTTGCGTTTCAGCTGGGAGCTACGATAGGTACATGTTTTAGTTACAATGTATCGTTATCATTCTTGTGGCGTAATGTATATTTACAACAATTTCATAAATCATACTTCCTTGTAAATAAAATTCAAATAAAGAGAATTGTCATTGCAAAAGTTCTTGAACCCTGTCTCTTATACACATCTAGATGTGTATAAGAGACAGGGTTACAACTACAGTAGGACGCCCTCTCTCAATTACAATTACTTCCTTTTGCTTTTAATACTGTTGCGCGTAGAATCGCAGAGAGTAGTAATCGCAGAGAGTAGTAATGTAGTAGTTATAAGATCTTTGATTCAAATATACTACAATAAAAGATATAGAAATAATTAAAATGGAGTAAATTACAGAGAAGCATGTGAACGGAAAGAAACAGGTGCCGGTTCTACCAAAAAGTTCCTCCTGAAAAAAATATAAATTTATGGTAAACTTTAAACTGATTCACATTTTAATATAGTAGCGGCAGTTTGCTACAGCGGTTGAGGTTTGGGCTTTCAATCGTAAGGTTGGGGTTTATCGATTCTCCGCTGTGCAGATTCGCAAGTGTCCTTGGGCAAGGCACTTTAGCTACATTGCTTCAGTCCACCCAGCTGTACAACGGGACTAACCTGCGACGGACTAGTGTCCCGTCCAGGGGGAGTACAACTCTCATCCGCTTCACACTACAGAAACTGGGGATAAGCTCCAGCCCTATGAGCCCCACATCATAGGCTAGGCCTCTGTCTAGTTTTTTTAGCAATGATTTTACCTAACCTGGCATGGTAGTATTATACTGTACCTCCTCGTACAGTATGCCCATCATCCGTTAGCAACATGTCACTATCCGTTAGCAACAGGAACTATTGCTGTAGTGACTATCGCTATCTCAGTGTACTAGGCACTAGTGAAAAATATTTCCATCTTTGGTTAGACAGCACAATTGACGTATAATAATCAATAATTGCTTAATGGTTTACAACATTTGTTAAAATATCTGTTTGGCAAAAAGAAAAATGACTTACTTTGTTGCGTTTCAGCTGGGAGCTACGGAAGGTACACGTTTTAGTCACAATGTATCGTTATCATTATTCTTGTGGCGTAATGTATATTTACAACAATTTCATAAATCATACTTCCTTTTAAACAAAATTCAAATTAAGAGAATTGTCATTGCAAAAGTTCTTGAACCTTAAATTTTGACTGTTCTGCATGCATGTGTTGTCATATATCAGTATACTGTACACAAAAGAATGATAAAGGTTAAAAAAACAACAAAACACAAATGTGAAAAAGGGGAAACGTACGGGAAAATTCACAAAGAAGTTAAAATGCTGATGACAGGAAGTTAGTATGTAATATAGAAAATTTTTATTTATAAACCATTATCATTTCCAAAGTACATAGAACTTTGATTTGCGATGACACCCAAATAACTGGGTCCAAGAATAACTGGGTTTTGAGTGACATCAGGAAAGTTTGTTGAACCGTGTACAAGGTTTACTTCAAATTTACTGCGATTACAATATCCGACAATTATATAAGGTTTAATATTTAGAAAATAATCCCCAAGCATAGACATTTAATGGTATTAAAAACTATTGATTTTCATAAAGAAAATGCATTAGGGTTTAAAGTACAGTTTAGGAATTTAAAAGAATACGTACAGTATATGTAAAAAAACCTTTGAAGAAAGTTGAAAATTTTAGTTTATCTTATTTTAAATGCACCAGTACAATTAATTCATAATAGGGCCTACCGTACTGTTATTGTAAATAATTATACCTAAATATTTATAAAATGTATGCTTTTAATGGTATTGGTACACTAATTACAATTATACTTAGGATGGATTGACTTAAAATGGATCAAACTTGCTTTGATTACCAATTATCTCATGAGGCTGTAAAATTGTATAAGAAAATAAATCTTGCCCAAGAATTTTAATTAAGTGTCCTCGTCAACATGGCCATTTGGTCTGGAAGTGTATACAACTTATTCCTTTTAAATATATAGACTTGATAAGCACCTACAGTATATAACAACAAAGGTATGAGATTCAAGTTGGCATTTCAGATACTGCTAATTTCCAAAATGAATTACAAAAAGAAGAATTTCTTTAATCTATTTTGAAGTGTACAGTCATTGTAATACAACGCAGTGTGACCCAAATAATTACAAAATGCAATGTATACAGTTATGTGTAATGGTGTATATTTAGAGTAAATACAATGTAATGGTTGGTGTTAAAAATTGTCTATTGAGTATTCAAAAAGCATTTTTCTATTATACTGTAGTACTGTATTTTTTCTACTAATGTTAAAAAGAGAGGAAGTTTTTTTTCTCACTTTTTTCAATGCATGCAAGAAGTATGTACCTGTACCAGGAACGAGTTATTTGTACTGTACTGTATTCATATGGGACACTCTTATTAAAGGGACACCCCTATTCAAGGACTCTTTTGGATCCCAAAAGGTGTCTCGAGATTGTCCTGAAATGTCCCCTTGTTGAGAAGAGCTCTAGATTTTTTTTTTTTTTAACTTAATTTTTTCCCCATGCATAGGATGGACACATACTCATGTACTCTACCTGTACCTTGCATGTTATCTGTAGGCCTACAGTACTGTATTCATTTATTTATTTATTCTTTCTATATACTGAATGACACTTTCAGTGCTAAAGCATTGATTTCCAAAGTGGTTCGGTATTAGCAAATAAGAAAAATTAAACAATGAAAATAAAAAAAGTTAGGTACACCCTTATTAAAGGGACCCTCCTCACTCCCTTTTAAAGGATACTTTTGGGTCCCAAAGGTGTTTCAACATTTTCCTGAAATGTCTCCTTAATACAGATAGGTGTTTTGCTGTACTGTACTTTTAAATAGTTAATTAAAGAATCATGCATGCTACCTAAACATTTCTGTACGAATATAGTTCCACAATTAGATAATATTGTAGTTCTGGTGTTTTCAGTGATCAAATATTCTTCCCTTTTTTTTGTTGTCATTTTATTGCATATTTCCATTGTTCTGATTTTATGATAATAAATATTGAGAAAAATGTATGTTCCCATCAGGATTCAAACACAAGACTTTCCGATAACTGTTCGGTTACTCTACCAGCGTAGCTATGAGAACAAGTGGTATACTGCACACCCTTGGGTTTTCCTATTACGACACACAACAAATAATACAGTAGTAAATCACATGAAGTAACTTTTGGTATGAAGATACACCTTTACTGTACTCATGGTGATAATTAAAGATGGTTATTTTTATTACCACATAGAATAAACTACCTGAAAGACTTCATTAATATCACAAAATCAAATTAAGTTCAAATTATTCTACTTCTAATAAAAATGTTCTCATTTTAGTTAATTTTTTTTCTACTTACTGTATATAGGCCTATATCATTTACCTACCATATTACAGTATTTTATATACTTTAAATTTTCTCTTTCAATATGTCTCTGAAACAAGCTCAATTTATTTTTAGATACAAAATTTAATTGAAAACATGAACATGGTACAGTATGAACATTGGTAATAATCTTCTCAAACAAAATCCAAATTTCCACTTGAATTACAAGTCATTTAGGCATATAAAATAAACTGCCCTATAAATTTCAGTAAATTATAAGTGGTGTATAGAAAATGTGGGCTAGTGCAGAAATGGAAACGTGCAATCTTTCAAGAATTGTTCCGATGTTCAGCCACTGAAGCTGAATTGCTCTAGTTTATAGTAATGATGTCTTCCAGTGTAGTGCTTCGTTGTCAAAATTACAAAAACGAGCCTGATAGAACATGGAACCTGGAAGCAGTTTGGCGCAGCAGGAACTGATTTGTCTCCCAACCTCGAGGTAGGGGTTTCAATCCCTCGCTATCCACTTCCCTTGCGTCCTTGAGCAAAGGCACTTGACTTTATCTGCGTTGCTTCTCTCCACCCAGAAATATAAATTGGTACCTGACAGAGTTGCCTGCTTCTGCGCCAATGGAGTCAGCAACACTTGGTATGTGGGCCCAATGACCAGGGAAAACAAATCACTTCATAACGTACAGGTAAAGGAGAAGTCGCTATATAAGTATAAGTAACAGATAAATCAAAATATCATATCTGCTCTTAAATATCTGTGACAGTGGTGGTGCCCGAAATTTCCCAGTACTTGAGGAACTTGACTGGCAGGTTTACACTCACTCAGCCTTGCTTGGTCAAATTTTAGGAATAGGTACACTACTGAAGTGCTTGGAAATGGCAGTCCCAGACTAAAAATGCCATTTCAAAGCATTTTCCTCTGACAAAAAAGATTAGCTTCTTCCCAGATGATGTTTATCATGATTAAACAAATGGGGGTTATGTGCCCACCCATAGGGCTTTTGTGTTTCAATGTGAAAGCATACTGTTAATAATGGTTAATTTATCAAAAAGATGGATTTAACTTTTAAGTTTCTTGAACGATGATATTAAAAGGCAGCTTCGGAACCTACTGTATGGCTTGAAAAATTGATAACAAGCTTTCATGTTGCCTCCAAAATGTTAATGCGCTGGCTTGGAGTTCTTTCCTTGTTTTTCCAATTATCTGTTTACTTGTTTTTAGCCTCGTATTTTGCGCAGTATAAATATATAACCTTTAACCTTTAAACAAAGAGCACTCCTTCTACAAATAGAGTTCGTAATAGAATCATTGTCTCTGTGTACAGTAATGCAGAAATCAACTCATTTGTCACATCGATATGAGACTTCTGTTAAACCCATTTCTAGTGTATTAGTTTGTTACTTTGCAGTATCTCCCATAGGCAAGTTCCCAACAAAACCTACTGTATATACCACTGTTATGCTCATCCATTAATGGAGTAAATAACTATATACTTCATGCTTGAAATTCTTCACTGGTTTATACATAAATATAAATAATGTTAGACTTATACTGCGTTCCTTCATGTCAACAAGGTGTAAAGCACTTCATATTATTACTCCCTGTCATTGGATCAAGCACATTATGGAACTCAATCATTAAATTACGTAAGGTTGTAGCTACATCAGTGCATTCTGTATTGAACCTACCAGGTAATGTACCCACAGTGGAGAGAGACAACAGTGGTAAAGTGCCTTGTTTAAGGACACAAGCGAAATGTACAACATTGGGGGGGGGGGTGGAGGCTAGGGGCTACAGCTCCCCCGATGGGGAGGCCTGGCCCCCCCCCCCCCCTGTCGGGGAGAAAAACCACAATTCGTCGGGGAGAAAAAAAAATTCAAATATATTTTGTACATATTAATAGACTCTAAAATCGATTAAATAAAGCCTTTGAAACCCCTAAACTGTCAGTCATATTTTCAGGGGGCTACCCTTGGACCACTTTCGAAAGGTTTTTAGCAACTCCCGACCACGCCCACTTTTTTCCCATTGGGGACGTTGGACCCCCGTTGGAAAAATCCTGGCACCACCACTTGAAGCAGAACCACAGGGCAAGGCACTTTACGTACGTTTGCCTTTCTCCACCCAGGAGTATAAATGGGTACAAGGTAGGATGGTGTGGCATTGAATGTATGAGTCGTACGCATACTGTACAAGAAGCAATGACCAGGGATATTCTGCAGGATGCAGAGAAAGTTTCTCAATGTGCAGATCTGCCTGCAACTTGCACTAGTATCCAAAGACCAGGTAAATATTGATGCCAGCACATTGCAATCGCTTGTAAAAATCTGCGGGTTGAGAAAGTCGCTATATAGATTATATGGTTCTATAAAAAAAAAAACCCAGAGAATTGAATCTGGCCCCTTAATAAGGGTGTCTTTTATCATCTCCATGATAGGGGTTGGCTGTCATGTAAAAAAATATATTTCCTCAATTACTATAAATGTCACATTAATAGGGATGTCTCCTGAATAAGGTGTCCCAAAGGAGAAGTCCTACTGTAATACTTTCTTTAATCATAAAATTTGATAGCCATTTCTACACTGTATTCCTATCATTTTGTGCTTCATCTACTGTACTATATTGTTTCATATGGAATTACTATATTATTGTGCATAATATTTAGATGATATTGGGTTTGATGTCACATCCATGATTATTTTCTTGTCTCTGCCTTGAGGTTGCGTATAGTACTTTTCCCATCCAATGGTATTTTTTGTGATTCTTTATTTTTTTCATTCTATATGATAAA